TTTGTTGCAGCTGAGCTTTGGCCAATTGGTTCACTGTGGTTGTTAACTCTGCGATAGCTTGCCCATGATCATGAAGTTTCTTGTGTAGGTGAATGGCATTGGGGTCACCTTGCGGAACATTGGCCCTACTTCGCCATGCCGATGAGATATCCACACCTAAGGTTTTGCGAAGTACTAATGTAATGAGCTCGCGGCTTAATATGAACAACAGAATCATTTCTAAGTGCAATTGGCAAAAGACATTAGCCAAGAGATAAGAAGGGAAAATTTGGTCTAAGTGTTGAGATTTGAATTCGACATTATAGAGAAAAATGGCAGGTAATGCCAAGTTCTTCAGAATTTTTATGTATTCTATAAAAAAGTAAGTTAGTAACTCATCGTGAAGCATGTCCATTGGATGAAGGATTAGAATCAAGAGCGATGTTGGAGATTATGTATACAGGAAGTTCCATAATGTGTTGGAACCAAGATAAGTTCGTAAATATACGTTTCAAGCGTCAAAATGAATAAAGAAAGGTAATTGTTTATACTTCGAGGTAATTGAGAAGGCACAAGAGGAACTATCTGATCTACGCTCTAGAGTTAACTGCAGTTGTACACGCAGTTGAGGTCGGAGGCATTATTTATTTGGCATACGAGTTGACATCCTCACAAATTACAAGAGTTATCTTTATATCCTCAAATAGGAGGAGCTAAATACATGTCTGAGGCGATATGTTGAGTATTAAAGATTATGGCGTTGATGTTTTATGCCATCTATGAAGGGCTAATATGGTAGCCGATGCTGTAGATCCATGGACAATTTAGCTTACTTGTCATGACCCAAATATCTACCAAATCGTGATGGTACCTAACCCAACCCGTTAGGTAAGCCAAACAACAGTTACACAATTCTACTGAAGATCATCAGTAATCAATAAATGAAATAGCTAAGTTTCCAAATAATAACCCAAGGATTGGTAGTACAAGTCATCCAAAATTTCACAAGATTCGGCATAAGGTGTGTTCATGAAGTTCCCGTCGGCGAGTTGATTTACCACACATTGATTTGTTGTGTTGACCCCCCTATAGAAGGTTTGTTGGATCATGGCCTCGGTCATATCATTATTTGGGCACTCTTTAACCATGGTACGATATCTTTCCCAAATCTCATGCAATGGCTCATTGGGCTCTTACTTGAACACTAGAATTTCATCCTGTAGTGCATCCATGTGCCCAAGAGAAGAATTTGGCAATGCATTTTTCGACCAACTTATCCCATGTATGTATGGAATGATTGGACAATCTCTCCAGCCAATCCAATGTTTTTCCCCGTAAAGAGAAAGGAAATAGCCTCAACCTCAGCGCGTCTTCTGAAACATTGGTTTGCTTGCTCCCTTAACAAGTAACGACGAACCCCTTGAGATGATTGTTAGCATTTTGATTTAGAGCCCCGGTGAATAATCCTCGTTGCTCAAGTAGTGTAAGCATCACAATGATGATTTGAAAGTTGCCCGCCCTAATGCGGGGCGGGACTATAGCACTTGCATAACCCTCGTCCGGCAGCACCCGGTGCGCTGCAGCTCTTAGTGGAGGTGGGTGAGGGATGAGAACATTATCATTAGGCAGTCGGCCTCGCCTATTTGCTTGAGGTTCGGGAAGAACCTCATCTCCTTGATCATCGTCCACTTCCTCCCCCAATGAAAAATTACCAATGCGCTCGTTGTTGAGAGCCATTATCGTACCTATAAGCAATTCAAAAACAAAATTAGTGACTCGAATGGAAAAAAGACAAATCGCACAAAAACCTAGATATATAGCTAAATCTGTTTAACTCCCCGTCAACGGCGCCAAAAATTGATGTCGCCCAAACTCACTTCACAAATATAGGTAGTGAGGCGGTCGAAGCAATAATAAAACCCAACGCAAGTCGGGGTCGAATCCTCGGGGAGTTAGAATTGGGATTAGGTATATATTTAGTGTAATTGTATAATATGCCTTAGATTACACTTCCACATTCTTGTTTGTTGTTTCTACTTCTACTTTAAACTATTGATTGCAATTATAAAACTAGGAGACAATATTATTGGTTTTGGTTGTTTTCCAAATGATAAAAGATCTAGGGTCGTGACTTGCACCTAGGTGGTTACCTAATGGGTTGAAAATTCTATGATAAGCTTGATTGGTCGGGGTTATAATATAGCAATCACACGCAATTACCCACTCTATACCTCTCGGTAGTTTGAGTGATTTTGCCAAATTTGGTTTTCTCAAGTCCAAATGGGTATTGCACAAAACAAGTAATAACTGCTCAAGTCGGGTCTTACTATCTCTAGATTCAACCATTTAATTAGGGCTATCAATTTCTTGAGTTCACCCCAATTTCTTGTTAGCCAAGTTTTTCTAGACTTAGTCTCTCTTTCTCAAGTAGAGACTAAGTCAATTAGTCATGAATCAATATTTGCAACCATTAATTCTTGAATTCATGCAAGAACTAGGCTAAATATCACTAACCTAATCACAAACAAGTCCTAAATCAAATACCCATTAAGTACCCACACTAGGGTTGGGCCACAACCCTAGCTAGAAATTTAGCTACTTATGAAATGAAGAAATACAAGAAGAAATTAAGATAGAATGCATAATAATTGATTAGGGAAAGAAAATCTAATGTTTAGAAGCTAATCTAGTACAATATTACTCAAAACAGTAAAGGAAAACGGCTCAGGTGCTCTCCCAAAACAAAACTTACCCTAAACATGACAAAAAGTTCTATTTATAGTAAGCTGAAAATATCTGACAAAAATGCCCCTGCGGAGGTTGTGCGGCAGCATAATTATGTGTGTGGTCCGCACAACGAGACTTGGCTTGACAGGTTCCAGTTCTACGGCTGCACAATTCTGGATTGCGGTCGCACTCCTTTAACTACTGTGGACCGCGCATTTGTGAGTGCGGCTGCACAATTATAGTGCGATCCGCACTCCTTGATCTCAGGCTCTGGCTGTGTGAGACTTCTGCGGACCGTATAAAAATGAGTGCGGCCACGCTCTTGATTATGCGGCCGCAAAAAAATAGTGCGGTCCGCATTTATCTTGAACTTGAAATCCCATCTCTCTGATCTTTGTCTTCTGTGGACCGCATAATATTGAGTGCGGCCGCACTTAACATTCTGCGGCTGCACAATTATGGTACGGTCTGCACTCCTTCAGCTTGCCCAAAACCAGCTCTCCGAATCTCCTCTTCTGCGGCCGCACAATATTTGTGCAGTCTGCATACTCTGAAGAAGAACTGACATGGCTCTTCCTTTGTTTTGCGGCCGCACACAGTATTGTGCGGTCCGCACCGTGGGCTTTTTGCCTTGTTTTGGTCCTTGTCCATTTTTGACTCCTTTATGAGTTGATTTTGTCTCCTTTGGATCATTTCCCAATATTCCTGTACAAAAGCACATTTTATTAATTTTCGGAAATATCTTTAAGCATTTTTGAGCTATAACGCAAGTAAAAGAGAGAAAATAAGCGGCCAAAATCCCTACTTATCAATGACCCGCCACGTTATCATGCCACATAGACACCATTTGATATATATTAATGTCATGTGGAAGCTTACATAGGAGGAATGGTAGCATTTGTGAGAAAATTCTAGAGAAGTATGGACATTCCTTTTGGAAGACCCTAGATCCTTATTGATTTGCTAAAAAAGACGTAGGAATCTTCTAGGCATGTAGAGAATTATAGAGAAACCCTTATCTTGTAAATATTAAGGATTTTTGTAACAATTAATATTTACACACTAGCCCATAGGAGACTAGTATATAAAGGGGGTCATTCATTTGTAATTTACCAAGCAAACAATTCAAGTTTTCTCTAATACAAAGCTTTCTTTAACAATTCTTTTGTATTTTTTTTAACATTCTCTTAGCGATCTTGAGTGTAGTAAGGATGACTTGGCATAGCAAGAACGTGAGCAAGTTGTGCAAGATCGTGAACGAGTTATTAAGTGTCGCACGTGTACTTAGTTAACAACTAAGGAGGTGACAAATTGATCGGAAAACCTTGAGTGAAGGAAAGGTTAGATGTCACATTCGCATTAGTGGTTATTAATTTCCCATCTCTTCACGAACGATAGGCCATGAGATGAAACACAACAAAGATTGTCGTGGACTGATGTGATTCCACACATTTGTCATCATTTGGTTTGCCTCTAACTTCAAAAATATCCTCCTATCAGCTTCGACGTTAAAAAATCCAAACTACCGATTGCTAGGTGCCAGTGCAACTTGTCTCGACATTAATACACGCGATATCCGCACCAAACAAAGTAAATTTATTCTTTATATTTAGATGAGATATAGTAAGATATTTACTATAGTCAAATGATAAAAATTTATATAAAACACACATATTGTATGTTAATTAGTATAATTTAAACATTATATGCGTGTAAATTTGTTTCTCAATTTTGATCACATTCCCTATAAGCCAGGCTTAGAAGTTAGAACACATGTACTTTACTAGATCGCTAGTCGTTTCAATCAGAAGGGGAGATGCACATCCATGCAATTTACGGAAGAATTTCTTTGGTCCAACCCCATTGAAATATTATTAAAAAGATAGTAGCAGAAAAAAAAAAGTGTACGTATCTTAAATAAATATTACTCCATCCGTTTCAAATTAGATGAGATATTTTTTTTAGTGTGTTCCAAAATAAATGACATATTTATAAATTTAAAAATAATTTAACTTTAAACTCTTCATTTTACTCATTTTACTCTTAATGAGCACAAAAATATCATGGTCCCATAAAACTTTTAACCCTTAAATTTTTAAGACCGCAAATTTTAAATTTTCTTTTTTAAACTCTGTGTCGAGTCAAACTAAATCATGTAGATGAAACGGGAGGACTACTAGAGAGTGTGAGAGAGAGAATGGGAAAGTCAAAGCAAGGGCAAGAATGTAATCAAAAGGACAAATAAATTTAAGGTAGAGAATGGTTGCGGCAAAGTTATTCTGACACAATGCAGTGGTTCCAACTCCTATATAAATAGCTCTCCAACTTCCTCCCATTTTCTGTTAACTTACTATAAACTATTCTTCCCAACCATCTGATCAAACTCTCCGCCGGCGGCCGGCGTCACAATTAAATTCCATCCAAAATAACATGAAGAAATCAGGACTTTTAGCAGCCTCTGTTTCTGCTGCTGCCATCTCTTCTACTACCACAACCTCTTCTTCCAAAGTTCGAATTTCTCTTCATCAGGTTAGACTTCAATTTGTTTGTAATTTTTCTCTCCTCTTCTGTTTTTGCATCACTTGAATGTCGAGAGAAAGTTATCTTCTTTTATTGGAACACGGTAAAGTTGTATCTGTATGACTTATAGTTCACGCGTTCAAGTCGTGCAAGCGATCACTAATACTTGCAATAGGTTAAGTTGTCTTACATCACATCCCTTGGGTGCGACCCTTTGAGTCTTCCACGGATCTTCCGTGGAATACTTTGTGCAACAGACTATCTCTTAGACCGTCCCTTTTTTACCCATGTAGCATATAAAGTACAATAGGTCTTGGATTTGGACTTTGATCATGTAATAATACGTGTGTTCATATTAAAAGGGTGCATCCAAAATGCATTTAAATCTTGAAATTCTCTTTTATTTTCAGGATGATAGTTTGAAGAAAAAGGATGGAAATTGTTCAAAGCCTGTGAAAACATCACCATCTTCAGATAAATTTGCGCCCAAATTTGATGGATTGAGGTTTATAGAGACGCTGGTTACTGCTCACAGATAAGTTCACAAGAAAGGGATTTTTTTTTTGGATAGATTGATAGAATATAAAATACTCCCCCGTTTCAATTTATGTTAAACCTATTTCCTTTTTAGTCCGTGCCAAAAATAATGACCTCTTTCCCTATTTGTAAACAATTTATCTTTATGCAATGATTTATAGCCACACAAAATATATGTGCCTCATTTTACACCACAAATTTCAAAGTCTTCTCTCTTTTCTTAAACTCCGTGCTCAGTCAAATAGATTCACATAAATTGAAACGAAATGAGTGCATAGAGAAGAATGATGTGACAATTGATACCCATTTTTTTCATTTTTCCCTTATCCTATAATTGGAATTTCTATTGACTCAATTAGCCATCAAAGACAATTAAGGACTATATTCTCTCTTTTTGTACTAGAAACACATACTAACTAGTAATAGTTTCAAGGATCAAAGTTCAAACAATCTTTACTTGCGAAAAGGTTTGAATTTGTCCCTTTACTATGATATATAATTTATATTTATCTATCGTTATACTTTTTGTTCAAATTCAACCCTACCATTAACAAACTATTCAAAATTGCGCTTGGCCATGACATCCCTCCAATGTGACAGCCGACTCCTCTCTTCATTTGTCTCATCAAATCCCACTAAAATAATACTCCCTAGATTCATAATAAGGAGTATCAACAACTCACCTCCAAACTCTCTTTCCTCAACCGCGTTATTGGATAACTCGAATCACTCGTTCATATTCTTTAGCACCCACTAATAATATCCGTCTCACGAGTCTGCAAACTTATTTCAATATCCTCAAAAATATCATAACAGAATCTATTCGAGTTTGCTTCAAAACAAACTCCTATTCAACAAAAACAAAAAAAAATGATAGAACCCCAGAATTGTTTTCATAAAACTCGAACCGAACCCTCTACCTCAAAATCTATTGAAGAATCTGTGATTTTTTTTCTTGAAGATTCATACGAGTCGAAGTTGGAAGCATGAATCGAATTCTTCTTCTCATTTGAAGAAGTTATGGTAAAAATTTCGAAACCCGGTATGGTGTGTTCTTTGGGTGTCGAAAAATTGAAGCTGACAATTCAATTTGTTGATTATCTACGGAGGAAACTGGCTAAATGTTGTCATTTGGAACTTAAAATCGTGAATCAAACACTGACTTTTGGATTTGAGTGAAGAACAAACTTGACCTCCATTTTTGGGTCGTCGACTTCGCAGCTTGAAAAGCACTCAAGAACCTGAAATTTCTATCTTGTTTCCTACTGAAATCGAGTGGAAAATCATATTGGAGTTTAAAAGTGGAAGAATAACACCGGTGTTCACAAATTTGAAAAAAAAATTAAAATCCACCCATTGAAAGTTTTTTAAAAAAAGCTTGAGAACATAAAACGGTATTGATATTTACTGATAGCTGAGCCAAACTGTGCTCCTGGTTGCTGCCTCAGAGTCGTGTGTTCCAGACTCCAGCGAGGCCTTGTTCTATTTTACTTTTCTTCTCCAATGGGCTTCAAAGTTGCATAACATGAATTTGGAGCTACTGGGTGGATTTTGTGATTTTGATTGTGAGTTTGTTCGATGAATTAGAGGATGGGGATTGGGAAATTAATATTTTAGTGGGATTTGTTGATTTTGCGGCTGATATGGACAAATTAATAGAGAGGTCAGGTGCCACGGTGGAGAGACATTAGAGTTGAGAGTAATTTTTAATAATTTATTAACGGTAGGATGGATTGACGAAAAATATAACGAGGGTCAAATATAATTTTTTTTTTTTTTTTTTGGTACAAATCCCGACCTTTTCCCTTTTTACTTTCATATGTTTCTGGTGGTATTTTTTTGCCCTTTGAGATGGGGCCCGCGGGGGAATACTCAGATGAGGAAATTAGTGATCAAGCTGATAATTCCAATTTGACTGAAACTCAAACTCTTGATTCTTGATATTACAATTCAAATTTATTGACCTGATTTAATGGATATTGGTGCTGGTTTTGGACTTCTAATAATGTGCAAATGTTTGACAATGACTATATCTTTGACCGCCTATTGTTACTTTTTTAGTAGGCGTTTAATGTCATGACGTATATTACTTTTCATATAAAAAAATGCAAATATATATTTTGTAGTACATGTGCTTTAATTTGCAGAAAACCATTTCTGAGAGGAAAAAATGTAGCACAAAGGGGGAAATAAGAGAGAATTTTCATTTGGAGAGTTGTATGTACTTGTTGAATTTCACCACAGATGGGAGTAAATCTTCTTCTTCCATAGAAAAGTAATGAATTGAAAAGTCTGAAAAACCTAAAATAATTGCACAAGATTAGTAAGGCTGTTACATCAAATAGGAGCAAACGTCAAAACTTCCTTTGTACAGTAGTTTTTCCTTTCTTTCTAAGAAAACATGTAGTATTTCACTTTTCACAATTGGAACATCAATTTTTTTGACCTCTAAATCAGTATCGGAAGAAAATGGTCATATTATTGTACAATTCACTGGAAATACTTCTGGCAGATGAAAGTCACAAACATAAACATTCCTCAATAAAAATTCCATTGAAATGAACTGTTGAATCTTAGCGACATAAGAGAGAGTTGTAATGAAGTGACAAATGTGAAGCAAAATTTACTTTAGGTCACATATTTAAATCTTAGATGTGACATTCTTTTTTTTTTTTTTTTTTTTTTTTTTTTTTTTTTTTAGGCAGAATAGGCTCATAGACACCTTGTAATTATTCACATTTGTCATTGCGATCTCTATATTCAACGAAGTTTCATTCAGGCACTTATAGTCGTTCAAAGTCGATATTTTAAACCCCTTTGATGTTGCGTGTCTCTCAATCGCATGATGCTAGAAATAAAATTATGCTACATCACCTTTTCTTTTTATTTTTACATAAAATAAATAAATAATCCTTATGTCTTCATCTTTTTTTCTTTTCTGTTTTTAACCTCTTTTTTTTCTCTCTTCTTCACCCTCAACTTCTCCTTATGCTATCACCAACAGCACTGACATCACGTGAAAATTTCTATGGCCACCAAAAACACCATGAACACACTTTGATTTCCAATTCATTCATAATAAGAACTCTTATTCCACATCTACCCGAATACCTTATATCCACCATTTTTCTTCCTTTCCAAAACCGAGCTTCCCAACCATAGTACCACCCAATTCCGTTCCTCTTTTTGCCATTTTCGTCCATCTTCATTCCTTCACTCATCACTTCACATCCATCTTCACGATTTTACTATCTTAAAATCTCGTGCTTCGCCCATTAAAATCTTGCTTCCCAGAAAATGATTCCTAATATTATACTCTATCATATTTTAATAAATTTAACTTTATACATAACAACAATCGTACAAGATAATAAAAAAGAAAGATGTCTATCAATCAAATTAAACGATTTTGTACTGAAAACAAATATTCACAAAGCAAACAAACAATGACAAAGGAACTCAGATCTATCAAAAATATTTAGAAAAAAAGAAGAAGAAAGAAATGGGCAAGGGCTGGGGAAGAACGAGATGGGTGGAAGAAACACAGAAAAGGGGGCAGAGGCTGGGGAAGAAAGAGAAGGGCAAAGGGATAAAGAGGGGAAAAAATAGGGGAGGGGGCGGGGTGAAACAAGAAATAAAGAGTAGTATGTTTTTGTTTTTAATTTCTTTTGACTTTTTTTTCTTATTTTAATTATTTTTAATATAATATTCATGCTCGTTGTACGCGTGAAATGTACGCATCGTGTACAACTCAGTCATAAAGTTGTGACGTATGCTCGGTCAAAGGTCACAGGAGTTTAAAATATCGACTTTGAATAATTATAAGTGTTTTGATAAAATTTCGTTGAATATAGGGACCGAGATGACAAATATGAATAAGTACAAGTGTCTACTGGGCTATTATGCCTTTTTCTTTTTCTTTTTTTTTTATGGAAGAGTGCCCTACTTTGCAAAACGCCTTGTTACTTTGGTGGAAAAGAAAATCTGGCCAAAAAGAGAAAAGAACAAACGTAAAGCACTTCCTGAAAGCTAACTAAATTGGAAGTCTCTGCTTTGCTGAAACTTTGTTGTATGTTATTTTTTACAAACCTATGGAGTTATGTTAAAATTGGAAGTCAATATTCTTTCTGATTCTCGACAACATTTATTTGTGGGAAAAAAAAAAGAGAGAGATATCTTTAATTGAAGGTGTACAAGTGATTGTCTTTTTCCTAATATAATACAACTTAATATTATTTGAGGCACGTTTAGGTCAGTTGAACAGATTATTATATTAACATATCTTTTTCATAATAAGAGTGAAAAAAGAAGCTAAGAAGGCTGCATATAAATTACAAGCAAGGTTAATACTTCTTTTAATTTGGAAAAAATACCTTCGATTTTATTTATGCAAATTACTAACAAATTAGGACTAGTTTGTATTTGAACGAACGGCATGACCAGGAACTTGTCAATATCATACAAATTCTAGTGAAGTATACTATCTTCAGAATTAAACTCACACCTGTGACCTGTTCAACTAAAATTAAAAGGCATACGCTTATTCGTCAATGCAATTCCAATTTCCATATGCTATTCATATCTGTTTCCCCACTTTCTTTATTTGGATTAGCATCTTTCTTTTTTGTTGTGGTAGGGTATTTTTCTATCTTTGCGCCTGTGACATCCCTTGGACGCTAACTTGTGGCACAAAGCTTTCAGTAATTCCCAATTTCGAACAAATAAAAAGATAGAGACAGGCTATTTTATTTTAGTAACAACTGCCCTATGGACATCAAGTCAATCTCATCCGACTAGACATTGATTCATGATTGTCCACCCTTCGGTTATTAGTAGTAGTTGATATCATCTATATTAAAATGAATCTCGTATTTCACTCATAAGTAAAAAATTCAATAATCGGTCCAATTAATTTATGTCATCTCAGGACAGGAATAGTTTATAGGATCAACAAGTAACTTGGTACCGGTCAAAACTTCCTTAAAAAAATAAAAAAAAAAAAAAAATGCACTAACCTGATTAATCCTTCTGCAGCATCAACCGTCTTTTGCTTTCTAGAGAGCTCAGAAATTAATAATGCACTAACCTGATTAATTTTGAACATCAATAGATTCCCTTCTCTAAAGCATTTCTCCTAATGAAAGGTTTTGAAAGTATAACCAAGAAAACAA